CAGGCAACCGGATCGCGGGCGGCGCGGGGCGGAGCTCCGCTCCCTGAGGTGGCGGCGCCGTGTCACCGCCGGCAGGTACCGCGGCAGCGGCTCCGTCCCCGGCGGCGTCTCTCGCCTTCACGTTACAGGTGACGTGAGTCAAAGCTGAGGACTCAGCAAGAGGAGGAGCGATGGCACCCGGCTGAGCCGCAGGTGGCTGAGGGAGAAAGGACGCCTTGGTGAGGTGGTCAGCGCCGCTTCCTTGCAAAACGAGCGCTTGCACCCTCGGCCCTAGAGATCCTCCAGGGTCCTCCAGTCGCTCCAGAGACGGTAGCCTAGCTGTTTCTGATACTTCAGGTACTAAACAAGCTGGTGGCTGTCGATGCTTCTTTTCTATGACATGGGAAGAACCATACACCTATATATAAAAATAAATAGCTGTACAGGCGTAGAGCAGGATAGAAATTACAGATCTTTCATGACCATCTCTCAGTCTGAAATTCATCCAAGTCCTAACAAGTACTTTTAACGCTGTGCATTACAATTACATTTAATCTAAAAAATTCTCAAGGCTTTGGGCACCTTTTGGATTTTAAGCCAGTAATATTCAAATCCCCAGTGCCCCGATTCACAGATCCTTAAACTCTACTCTGTCATCTGCAGTCACATACCCGTATTTAGAAGGCAGATCACTGCTGCAAATGAACACATGCATTTTCAGTTTTGTAGGATGACAACTTCTTAGAAAAAGTAAAAATATTTATATGTAAGGACTCTTAACAACATGCACATATTTATCATTTATCTGTAAAGCAACTAGTTTTAGGGAGAGTCCTGCCAAAGCTCTGGATTAAAAAAAAAAAAAAGTATAGCTATGCTATACAGTAAAAATTCACTAGTATTTTTAAGATTCACACTTTTTGTTCAGGATTTTTCTTTATATTAATTAATTTAAAACAGGAGAACAGTATTTTTCTGGTTCATAATTATAATTAAACCAATTACAGTAAAGTGAATACAGAACAAATGAGATTTCTGAGGCAAATCAAAGCACATAAACTCCAAATGAAATGTTTTGAGTTGTAGAGTGTAGTGGGATTTAGACATTCCTTATCATAATTCCATTAAAACTGACAGTAACTTTACCCTGCTTCTAGGCACATTTAAATACTTCTTACAATCAGATGATACCAGATGCTGTGAAAGGTTTGGAGTCTAGGACTGCATGTTGTCTACAGCTGAACTACAAACAACTAGGCACATCTACCAGCTTGGAAAAGTAAGCTAAAACCCTAAACCACAGACGAGTCTATCGACCTCTCCTCACAACTGGTTTTAAGAACACAGAAGAATTTAAAATGAGAGTGAAGCATCTCAGAGAGCCAGGGGAGACCCTCCCAGCTGTCAGCAAGAAGGAAACACACCCTCCTGGGTAGCTTCCCTCACAGCTGCTTTAGCACACTTACAGAGCCAGGTCATCCAAATGAGAGGCAAAGCATATGAGTTGCTCTCATAACCCCCTGTGCATTTGTGCTTAGAGAACATCACATCCTTTTAAAGAGTTGACAACCAGCCTCAGTGTAAATACTAATTTTCTACAATTGTTAGTGTGCTAAGCACCTTATCAAAGCAAATTTTATGCACTTTTTCATCAAGCAAGGCAATTAGGGCTCCCCTCCATAAGCAGGTACAACCAAAATAAAATCTCAGAATGCTTCAAGTTCCAACTGGAGGGAGAAGAAGGGAGGCAGCAGATGAATCGAGCTACAATAACCTTTTAATTCTCCATCCTGGAACCTAAGATTTAAGTAACTACATCTAAACTGCAGTAAAAAGACTTAATGTGTTTGTATGTGTTTCCAAAGAAAGGCGCATGTGTAAAACTGTAGGTAAATTGCTGTGCTCTTCCCTGCCCCATTAGGTATACTGATTGGAATGTTTTAATCCTGTATTTTAAAATATTTCTTTTAAATGGAGCCTCTGGGCTTTTGGAATAAAATGACAAAGGAAAGAAGAAAAAGAAGCTCTTATTGGGGAAGAAAAAAAAAAAACAAAACCAAAACCAAACCCAAAGGAAACACTGCAAGGTCAAATAAACTACTAATGATAATTTCTCATCTGACCTGACAGTATTTTCATTCTAAACATCTTGCTACAACAGCTTTTAAAGTGTAGGTCATAGACAGATGGCAGTACATGAAATATTGCCCAGTCAGGCAGTCCTGACTCATTGTTTCCAGTTGATACACAATCTTAAGTAATTTTATTATCTTAATTTTTTCACTTAAAACTGTTGCTATAGTTTCATTGTAATTGCCGGTGGGAATAGAAGTCATGCTTTCATTGCAAATGAAACCAAGCCCATTTATTTTGACTCTTACTGCTCAGATATAGAAGCTTGCTACTTTTTTAGTTCTCATAAAAATGAAATATTTGTGATGGGGAAACTTCATTTAAGCGTACCTCATGGACTACCAAGACTAGTTGCTTATTTCTACATTATGACAGGCCTCTACCACTTAAGCTACAATTGTAATAAAATCTAGAGATGCATGACACAAATGTATGCACTAAAACCACTAAATTGGCAGCTTCTGAATTAGTCCAAGTATTAAATATTGGCAGAAGTTTTGCTTGAATAAAGCCCATAGGCTGTAAAATTCACAGATTGTAAAAATGTTTGCCCAAATCACACCTCATTTCCCTGCCTGTAGCAGGCAGAATTAACCAGGGAGGGGGCATAACCTCTCCCAGCCAGCCTTTTCTGTGCATGGGCAGCCCTTGCACCGTGCAGCACCACCATCAGTATCACCCAACTGTCCCTCTCAAAGCCCTGCCACAAGTGCTAACAGGAGCAAGGTGACAGAGCCACCCCAGCTCCCTGCTGGCCAACTCTTCTCCAACTGCTGCCCTCCAGGCCCCAGCCCTTAAGGAGGATTTCTCTGGAGCACCACCTGGAGTTACAGATGGGCTTAAGTGATGGTCTGAGGGATGCTACGGCCATGGTTTAAGCCGGGTCTTTTTCTCACCCCAGCATGACCTCCTCTGGTAACACTGCCTTACAATTGCACTGGCATCAGCTCTGCCTTTGAAGCTGGGAATGGTTTACGGGTGTGATGGGGAGAAGCTGGCTGGTTGTACCCCTTGTTCGTGAGCCTGGTCCCTAATATTGTGTCCTACGTGAAGGCTTAGTTCAAAATATGAAGGATATAAACCACTTCTAAAAGTTAATATTTGACAGTGATGTTAAATCCATAGGGACAATGACAAACCTCAACCCATTTCTCACTGGAGAGGTATTTTTTAGGTGTTGCCTCCTCTAACAGTTCAAAGACTCTCTCTATATATACACACATTATTAATAAAAAGAAGATTTCCATTCCACATTTATACACATTCATGACTTGCTGTTCTCAGAGCATTACATAGTGCACTGCTGGAGTTTCAGATACTGCAGTGATGAGTTTAAGGCAGTAATCTCTATCAATAAAGTGTTTGACCAAATTGCTAGTGGGATCTGAAAGGACACTGTGTTGTCACTGGATGGAGAAATATCTGCATGTATACAACACCTATATGCAAACACCCACATTTGTGCATCAAGAACCAGGGTACTCAAAAATAAAATCCCTGACTGATGCAGTTTCACAGAATCACATAATTGTCTAGGTTGGAAAAGACCTTGACTATCATCCAGTCCAACCATTAATGTGAGTTTCCAACTACACCATATCCCTCAGCACTATGTCGACTCTACTCTTAAACACCTCCAGGGATGGGGACTCCACCATCTCCCTGGGCAGCACATTCCAACGCCCAACAACCCATTCTCTAAATAAATGCTTCCTGATATCCAGTCTAAACCTTCCCTAGCTCAACTTGAGCCATTCCCTCTTGTCCTATTGCTTATTGCTTGGTTAAAGAGACTCATCCCCAGCTCTCTGCAACCTCCTTTCAGGGAGCTGTAGAGGGCGATGAGGTCTCCCCTCAGCCTCCTCTTCTCCAGACTAAACACCCCCAGTTCCCTCAGCCGCTCCTCGTACGACCTGTGCTCCAGACCCTGCACCAGCTTTGTTGCTCTTCTCTGGACACGCTCGAGTCCTTCAATGTCCTTTTTGTAGTGAGGGGCCCAAAACTGAACACAGGAATCGAGGGGCGGCCTCACCAGTGCCAAGCACAGGGGTAAGATCCCTTCCCTGTCCCTGCTGGCCACAGTATTTCTGATACAATATCAAATGAGGCCTTAGTGCAAGTGCAATTACATCAGGAAAAAATAATTCCCGGTACAGCTTTCCTTGCTTATGGAAGGTGTCCGGACGTTAATATAAAACATGCTTTTGCATGCACAGCTCTCTCACACCATGTGCTTTGTCACGCAGGTACTGTCTCGTGTGTCCCCATAGGCAAAGTGCTTCTAAGCCCTGACACGTTCTGCCCCTGGGGTGCACAGGGCATCCTGTACCCCCTCTGCAGGGCAGCTCATTTTGGTTGGTACTGCCAACTGGTAATGAAATAAAAAGTCGACAGACCAACCAACCACAACCCTCTTGTTGCAATTACACGTCCACATTAATGACCCTGTTGTGACCCCTCCTTTCCCGTCTTGCTCAGTTCCAGGTTCTGCTTCCTCTCTGCGTGAGAAAGTGTGCTCCGGCACAGGCAACACCCTGTCCTGCTGCTGGCGGTCTCCCCAGTGAGGATGTTTCCCATGCCTCCTCTTCCAAGATTTCCTAAGCCCACAAGAAGCAGTTCTCAGGAATAAAATTCATTTTAACCGACAACCTGAAAAACAATTGAAATTAGCAACCATAGCCCACAGTGATCAGACAAAAATTTGTCTGAATTAAATCTACCCATGATCTTGACTTTTTCTCTTTGTTAAGAGAGTCCAAGATAATTACATTCTTTACCAAGGCATGGCAGTGAAATACCTCAATTAGGTGAAAACACTGGTGTATAGGCTCTTCTATGTTGCTTCCCGCATGACAGTATGTTTTGCCAATTATCAGGCCTAGCATAAAGGACACAGCCAGCATAAAGATGAACTAATAACCAAATTGTATTCGATACAAAAGGGTGAGTGCTGCGGGTACAAGCCAGTCAGTCAGATTATACATAATTGACATCAATCCCACTGACCCCATTGACGCCACACAACCAACAATGGGTGGAATAATGGTGAAATGCAGTCTCCCATAGAAGGGACAGGAGACAACCAAGTCAACAAGCCAAATACATAAGACAAAGGAAGCCACATATTGAATCTCTACACAGCCCATGTTTACAAAGGCCAGACCTGACTGGAGCCCAGTCCCAGGGAGACAGGAGGTCCTTCCCCAACAGGGAACTCTGCACAGTGCATCCACCTCACAGACAGACACTGCCCTTGCCTGCAAGTGGTCCCAGCTTTTATCCCCAAGTGTGACACCTGACCTTGGGTTACTTAATGTGGGACACCTGGGGCTCCTTTCCCCAATGGCTCTCCCTGCAAGGCCAGACCCACCCTGGAAGGAAGCTTAAATGGAAACTCACCCCTGCTTTGTGAGGGGCTGTGGGAATCACCCATATGTCAACCTTAATTTGGGGCTTGGGGTTGAAACCCCAGCATTTCACAGCAATATATCCTACATTCAGAGCAAACAATGCCAGTCAGAGTACAACTCTGCTAATATTTCTAAACCACAGGCTTCTGCTAACACAGCCATGTCAGATTTCCATCCTTCCACTCAAATTCATACCAACAAAAGATGTACCCACCTTTGCAGAGGACATTGCTACCCTCAGGTGATGGCTTTGATAAACCTCTGTTGCCTTCCAGGGTACTGATTCAGCCTGAAACAATCAACTTTAAACAAATTAATCCAGCCCCTACTTTTTGTCTCTGCAAGTGCAACCCATCTGTGCATGCTGCTTCACGTAACCCCACAGCTTCTCCTTGCACCGGATAACCAAACACTTCCATTTTCTGTCCTGCAAGCCTTTAGTGTTTTCTTCAAGCCAAAACTCGCTCCATGACCCCTTACTAAAGCTGCAAGGCTTCAACTAGAGAAGGAGGGAAGACTTGGAGCTTTGATCACACTTTGCAAGCCCCGATCGTACACACTGACTGTTGACAATACCCTTACTGAACATCAGAGACTGCTTGTGACCCACAAGAGCAACAGCCCCCTCCATCCAATAAACACGGTGGCATACAGGATAGTGGCACTTCTCTGATTTTGCTACTCCAGTGACAAAGTGTGTCTCAGCATTAGGATTCATTTTCATTCCTATGAGAAGTTTTAAAACTATGTGCAAAGATAATTGTCCAATGAGGTAATTTTTATGCTAACCCTTTTCTGGAATTCATTGGGCTAGACATGTGGTTTTCTTCAGTATAGCACAGCTATGTTTGTTTATTATACTTTATTTTAAAAATAAAAAAGGAAAAAAAGGCCAAGCAGCTCCTAGAGCTATTTTTTCCCATGGATTTGTGTCCCATGCTTCACTGACTTTGAGAGCAGCAGTTCCATCACGAAGCTTTTCCTGCACTCAGCGTCTTCTTCCCATACAAACTGCATGGCACTTAAGACATGAGCACATGCCGAGAGCTTTCACTCAGCACACGCAAGTTTCTCCCTCCTTCCCCACACTTATTTTCACACTACTGATAGAAATAAATTTCATTCTCCCATCCAACGGGCTCAAAAGTTATTAGGGACACAGGCATGTGGCATGATCATATAAACCTCCTGTCTAGAACAAATCTATTTCTCCCCCCTCTGCCACCCCTTCAGCAGCCTCATTTGCTAGGGTCTCCATTAAGATACATACCACAGATCACAAAGTTCCTTACAGAGTGTTATTTTGAAAACAAGATGATGTGAGGCTTACTTAAAAGGAGCAAGTTTCATATTAACTTATGGAAAACAGAAATGGTACACTCATGAAAAGGTAGGAACATGCTTAAAAGTACTTCAGCATAAATCTCACATCATACAGGGCTCCAAAGAACACACCAGTAACCTTTTCCTGACATATATTTGACCTTTAATGCAAGTACACAATTGCAACATCCTGAATGTCTATAGCTGAAGTTTTTCCAGTGGATTTTCCAGCTTGCTTACATCTATACCAAAGTGTAGCTATGTACATATAATTTATACATGACCATCTAACCTGCATCTATGTGAGACTTTCTGATGTTCTGACTGCCTTGCACCATCAAGAAGGGATTAAAATAGTCCAGCGTTCAGAAAGTTAACAATTATACATTTCATTTCATATATAACGCACCTACACTAAGATTAAACTGTAAATAAAAAAAAAAAAGTATTGTGTATTTTAAAAACTTCCTTTAAAACAAATTATTTTATCTCAATCCAAACATTCACAATAGCCGGAAGCTGGATGGTAGCATGTTTACAACTGTACAATAGCTCCAAAAACCAGTAAAGCATCCTCCCACTATATTAAGAAAAGATCCTTTAAAAGGTGAAAATAAGATTAGCCTCTTGACTATATTCACCTAAGACAAAAGATTTGGACACCTATGGTGCATATTATTTTAAAATCAATTTAAGCAGGGTTTTTGCAAACAAATATGCAAATATTTATTAAAATTCCTTCTTTCCTAATAAGAAAATGCTCAAAATTTGGTCAGAAAGACGAATTAGTTCCCTTATTATGGAAGCCTAGAAGTGGATTTTGGGAGAGATTTTCCAGCCTTGTTTTTGAGTGTTACTCCCTTTCTTTCTCTCCCACAATTTTTCTTGCAACCAGCATCAAAACACCAGGTACTGTGATACATCTTACGCTGAACTCTCCCCTACAAAAGTTGCCACTACAAAGATCCCAATCATATAAAAAAAAAAAAATCAAACTTGTTTTAAGAATAGCAGTTTTAAGTGCAAATGGCATGACACAAAATGGTATTAACTCGCAAAGCTCAATGGCACAGGCCAACAGGAACACTGTGAAGTTGAACAAAGGGAAATGCAAAGTCCTGGCTCTCAGCTGGGTCAGCCTGACTCAAGGCACGCTCTAGGTTATGTACATCATTTCACAAAGACTCAGTACAGGGATTTCAGACATTAACAACATGTCAAGTCAGCTTTGGAGCCTCACTTTGACTGTATGTATTGTGGAAATATCAACTCAGAATTTAAGCAAGCAGCACACTATTGCCTTTAAGCAAAAAAAGGAACAGAAAAACAGGCTTCTCTGTTCATATTCCATTTCTCAGCCATCACCTATTCTGCTTTCTCACTTTTAAAAGTAAAAAGCTTTAATTAACTTTAACTGTAGTCCCCCTCTCTAAAAAAACCTCAGTGATAGCAAAAGAAAACATAAGACTTTTAGACAAACAGGTTTATAA